ACACACAGCACTCAAATTTTCATAGCTGCCACCACCACCACCATCAGCATCATGACTTTTCAAAGTGGTCTTAGAGGATGTTGACAGGTATTCGCCATGAATACTCTTGTTGTTCTGATTAATAATAGGTATGATTTACTAAGGTTCTTAGCTTGCCCCTATCAGAGAACTGACTGATGTAGCAGTATAAAGATTATTCACCTCAGTCAAACTCAGGACAACTCTGAAGGGACAGCCTAACTGTAGAGTTCCCATAGGGTCAGCTCAGGGTGCTGTTGGGCATGCAATACAGCTTAACTTCCCCTTCTATCCACCTTACCCCATAGGAGTTGAGCCCAAGGTCACTCCTTCATAAATAAGTTGCACAGTAAACTTGGAGTTGGAAAAGGAGATGGTTTGTCCTTTGTTAATCCTCTAAACAGCACAGCTACAATCAAGGACAAAAGTTACACAGAGATAGCATTCGGGCTTACTAATTTCTTTCAATAATGAAACAGCCTGCCTCAAAAAAGCAGTGTACTTTGCAAGACAGAAGAAGCACTATTACTATTGAAAGGGTCAGTATCAACCAAACAAGTTGGTATTTTAGTGAAATTTGTTTCTGTTTATCTGCTCCTGGCTAGCATATTGCATAGCATCACTCATATTTAGAATTTAGTGATTAGAGGGGCGCCTGGGTGGCGCAGTCGGTTAAGCGTCCGACTTCAGCCAGGTCACGATCTCGCGGTCCAGGAGTTCGAGCCCCGCGTCAGGCTCTGGGCTGATGGCTCAGAGCCTGGAGCCTGTTTCCGATTCTGTGTTTCCCTCTCTCTCTGCCCCTCCCCTGTTCATGCTCTGTCTCTCTCTGTCCCAAAAATAAATAAATGTTGAAAAAAAAAAATTTTAGAATTTAGTGATTAGAAATTTTTACAAGGAAACTTCCTGGGTTCAGTAGAATCTGGGAATAATTTGAAGGTAAATGGGGAAAAAATCCATTTCCTAATGAACTCTCAGAAGTAATCTGAGATTATTTAAGATACAATGGCAGAAATTGTCAATGCCCACCACTGTCCATTTACTCCTTTGTCTTTACCTAACAGAACCCTGCCAAAGACTACATTTCCCAGACTCCCTTTTAGCTAATGTGGCCATGGGACTAAATTATGGCTAGTGGTAGTGATGTTTGCAGACTCTGAGTGAAATCTTTAAAGGAAACCACGTGCCTTTTACTTTCTCTTTCCTTCATCCCAAGGTTGGAACATGGAGACGAATGATGGTGGGTGGTAAGACAGCAGTAGCCTCAGAAAGGTGAACAATAGTTTCTGGGTTCTTGAATAACCTCTGGACTCGGACTCAATTATCCATCTGAGGTGCCTACCAGTTTTGACTTTTACATGGGAGAAAAGTAAACCACTTATTTTGTTTAAGCCATTACTATTTTGGTCTGTGTTAAAGCAGCTGTACCAATATTCTAACTTGTACAGATACCAAATCAATAACTAAAATCTAAGTGCTGTTCATTCTTTGCCCAATCAGCATAGTATCAGGAGACTACACTATGAAAAGAATAGAAAGGAACATACTTGCCTGTGAGTTAACACTCACATCACCCCCCTCCTTTTTTGGTGCTCTGCCTTATCCTGGCCCACATTATATTTTACTTCTGTATAAAAATCAAGGGCCAAGGCAAGATCTGGACTGGAATTATGTTTATTTGTCTGTATAGTAGGATTTTTGCCAGCAATTAATACCCCAATTTTCTATGCTGCTGATGCTTTGTTTTGGGGATGAGTAATTTTCAGATAGGTTTATATTATATATATACATAGATGTATGCATTCATTCATTCAACCATCCATCCATCCATCCATTCATTCATTTATTGAGTAATTTGACCATGTAGTGTGTACAGGGAGCTATTCAAATAAAATGAGAAGCAATTCATGATAAGAGATATCAAATGGGTTAAAATTCATTGATACATATTCACAGGTGGCTGAGCAGAACAAGTGAAACATAACTTAATCTTAAAATTCTTTAAAAGAAATAGAAATGAGAAATCCAACATAAGCCATTGTTAGGAATCACTTGCCATTTAGAATTTCCTCTATTTCTATTAGAGTAATGATTGACGCTTTTGTAGCATAAGAACCATAACCAATGTGAAATATACCGATATATTATTAACTAGTGTAGACTCTATTTCTCTTTTTGCACCTGAATTAAGTGTAGACATGTAAATGTCTGATTGCTTGGTTGGAAACATCTAAAATTGCAAAAGGATCTGCCATTTTTATCATGGCACTAACTGGATTTCAGAAGTTTTTTCTAGTGATCTGGTACTGGAGATAACATACTGCATAATATCATTTATGAAATAAATGGGGTACACGTGGGTTATCTAGAAGAGGTTACGGATTCTAAAACCAAGAATATATTCTCAGTTACAATCTCTCTTTTTACTTATGTATATCCAGAAACACCCTTACCTTTCCCTAAAGTAGCAACAACAGCTCATTCCCCTACATTAAATACCAAAAATCACAAATTTTGGGGAATCCTCATAATGGGCAGAGCCAAGTTCCCACATCAGAAGGAACCTGGGGGTCCGGGGGATGGTGGTGGTAGGGGGATCTGAGAGACCCTTAATTCATGGTGTTGCTGGTATGCAGAAACAGCCTAACCTTGTAATTACTTTCTCTGAGTGCTCCCATCTACATTTCCCACTACCTTCCCTAACCAGAGTTTTAACCACATCATGTCAAGAGATTACCATGAAAATAGGTGCTGAGAAGAGCTCAGAATAAACCACTCTTCTTGCTGCACCATCAATAACACAGCTAGTTGGAGGAATATCTGCTAGATGACCCGGCAAACATATTCTTTTTGATAGAGGGGATTTCATCTTTCCTAAATGCAACTAGCTTTTGGCCAAATATATGCTGTATGTCTGCAACAGTTTCAGTAAGTTCTCTTTTCTTTCTTTTTCCTTTTTTTTTTTTTTTAAGTTTCTTTCACACAAATCTGTTCATTTAATCCCATGATCTTGTCTTCTTACACTTACCCCTAGGTAGCTTCCAAATGCCCACTAAGTGTGTTAGACCCTATGGAAAGGTGGATATAAACTGGTTTCACGAGCTTAGGTAAATTTTAAGTTAATTTAAAACAACAGTTCAGTAAGTGAAAAATGATTTGAAAGATGTCAACTGAAAAGTCAAAATGTATGCATTTAAAATGCCCCTCTTACTAGAAATCACTGGTATTGCAGCCCTAATTGTGGGTTTTAAATCTCTACTTTCCATTGCAGAGGGAAAGAAAGCACATATATTTCATGGCTCCTGTTTTCAGGGAGACATCTTAAAATAGCAAGTGCGTATATGATTAAAAATCACCTGAAATATCATTTCCTGTGGTTGATTATTATTAACAATCATTTTATTCATCACTAACAGCAGTGATAAAGGCCATTATAAGCACTAAGCACTAAGGAAGGCATCATTATAGATTTTATTCATCCCAGGCAGGCAAATACTTATTCTCAGAAGATAGATGATTACAACTTCTTTAGAAATTTTTGTTGAGTTTTTAAAAGCACCTCAAAAATGGTTCAGAATTTATTATCTACCTCTGTCAGGGGGTTGCTGTAGGAAGATCAGATCTTTCTGAAGAAGATGCCAAGAACATATTAGCTGCTAGTTTGAGAACCTTCATCTGTTCCTTACATCTATTTTTAGAAAACAGTTGTAGCGTTTAGCAAACACCACTGAGAAAATACTGTACATGTTGGAACCCAGAATTCAGCAACTATAGAAATCTAGTAGGTGGGAACTGGGGGAAAGGAGAACAAATTGTAGAAAAATACCAATTTGAATAATGTAAGTAAGGTCTGCCTATATTTTAGGTGCCTGAAAGATGAGAGTATTTAAAACATTTTGATAATAAAATATAAGGAAGATTATGGGCTTTAATATCTTTATTTTTTTATTTTATTTTTTTTCAATATATGAAATTTACTGTCAAATTGGATTCCATACAACACCCAGTGCTCATCCCAAAAGGGGTTTTAATATCTTTAGATTATGATCTGTGACATTAGATTAATGTTTCTTTTGGGAGCAGAGCAATGGAAATGTTGTTGTTGTTGTTTTTAAAGAAAAATAATTTCCTTAGTTTTCTTCCCATGAGTTTCTAGGTGTTATATCATAAAAAAAAAAAGACACTATGATGTGTTTTTAAAAATCACTGTTAGGGGGCGCCTGGGTGGCTCAGTCGGTTAAGCGTCCGACTTCGGCTCAGGTCATGATCTCACGGTCCGTGAGTTCGAGCCCCGCGTCGGGATCTGTGCTGACTGCTCAGAGCCTGGAGCCTGCTTCAGATTCTGTGTCTCCCTCTCTCCCTGACCCTCCCCCGTTCATGCTCTGTTTCTCTCTGTCTCAAAAATAAATAAACATTAAAAAAAATAAAAAAAAAATCACTGTTAGTAGGGGCACCTGGGTGGCTCAGTCGTTTAAGCGTCTGACTCTAGATTTCCGTTCAGGTCATGATCTCACAGTTTGTGAGTTTGAGTCCTGCATCTGGCTCCAAACTGGCAGTGTGGAGGCTGCTTGGGATTCTCTCTCTCTTCCTCTTTCTGCCCCTCCCCAGCTCTCTAAGTAAATAAACTTAAAAAAAAAAATCACTGTTAGTAAATATGTAAACCTCATATTATTCTTAATTGCTTCAGAAGTAACTCTGAATAATCTTTTTGTTATTTTTCCTTCTTTTTCAAATGCTTGCAGGAATGTAAGCCAAAAAGAAATGTGGTCCCATGTATTTTTGCCATTTTGCAAAGCACAAAAACAATTACAAAATGAGCATAGTTTTCTAAAACAGAAGGAGCTGTTTAAGGTTTACATAAAATTCATAAAAGGGTGACCACATGCCAGCCTCCGGTTTAAGGGGTTTCTGATCTATTTAGCACGTATGGGCAGAACACAGCTCTCTGTCCAACCTCATCAAAACTTGGCATAAACACCACTCACCACTGGTGATGGGGAAAGTGCAATGTTGCCTATCGATGCCTTCAGCTCATCCACGGTCACAGCACTCTTAAGAATGTCTTTAGATTGTAATGGCTTAATCTTGATATTAAATTTCTTGTGTGATTCTTCTTCCTCTTCCGATTCACTCGAAGAATAAAAGTGCTTTCCTTTGGTAGGTAGAACACAGTTAAAGATACAGAACTCTTTTTTCTACTGGGAAGCAATGATAAGTATAAGACAAGAGTGACTGTATATAGAGGCAGCAAAGGTATCCTTAGATGGCAGGAAATCAAAGCAAAATACACAGACAAATAAAAGAGCAGATTAGGAAAGGGTTCAAATTTATTTACCTTTCCTTGGAACATGATTAAGAATGGTGAATTTCTAGGAGCAGTAGTATAAGGTGCTACATTTTTGCTGCAGGTGGCCATTTGTTATGTCCCACTCAGTACAAACACGGACAGGCCCACGGGAGCTTTCCTGTCTAAGGAGAAAGGAAGGCCACTCTTGGGATGATTTGTGATGAGTTTCCAGTACTTTAGGGATGCTCTGCCCAGAGATGGTTTGTGGGGAGAGCACAGGTAAGAGCTATTTTCTAGTCACGATAAATGACATGGTCATATCAGGTTTTAGCAGACAACCTGGTACCCAGAATTTACACAATCTTTCCTCAGCACATTTTTCTCTTTCTCCTCTCTCTCTTTTCTATGAATAGATCAAGGCAAAATGCCTGCTTGTTAGTGATCAGGCTGTTCTCTGCTGTTTATTCATTTCTAATATTAGGGACAACAGGACTCAGGAAGTTTGGACTATTTCTTATTTCAGCACCTTTTCAAAAATCTGAATTTATATAGTCTTCTTACAGAAAATAAAGATTAAAATAAAAATAAAATAAAGAAAGGATATAGCCGGGTTCCTCGGGTCTGATGCTATAGCCTTCTTCATCCAGCTCAGGGGAGTTCTATAAAATAGAAGCGCACATTAAGCATTTATTATCCTGACAAAAATCAAGGAATTATTAATTTTCCTTCTAGAGCTTTCTACTTAAAGATATAGACAGATCTTTTATTTTAACCTTTGGAAGTGAATGCCAAGCAGCGTATGCTTAGATATTTATTCAAGGATACTTGGAGAGTCTTTCTATCAGAAAAATAAACTAGGAATCAACTGTCAATGAAAGGAAACATTCAAAGAGCATTTATCATGCATTTCTTATAGGCCAAGGACTGTGCTAAGCAATATAGGGGAATACAAAATGCAAATTATTTTTCCTCTGGAAAATTGAAAAGTATTTTGGTAGGCAAAACATTTTAAAAAGATATAAAATACAAAACATCAGGCGCCTGGGAGGCTCAGTTGGTTGAGTGTCCGACTTTAGCTCAGGTCATGATCTCACGGTTCGTGGGTTCAAGCCCCACATTGCGCTCTGTGCTGATAGTCTGGAGCCTTCTTTGGATTCTGTGTCTCCCTCTCTTTCTGCCCCTCCCCCACTCATGCTCTGTCTCTCTCTCTCTGTCTCTTAAAAATTTTTAAAAAATTAAAAAAAAATCATTGATAGGGGTTTGAAGGAAAAGGAAATTAGTGAAGTCTTGCCTTTCAGGAGAGATGGAGAGGGTGAAGGGGGGGGGGTGGCGGTGGTAAGGGAGAGGCTGTAAGGAACAGACACCAAGGCAGGAATGGATAGTATGGTTCAGATGGGGAAAGAGAGAGGCAACAACAAAGATGACTGACTGCAAAGGAAGCTGCACAGTGGGAGAACATAGGAAATAAGACCATGGATGGCCAACGTTCTGGAGTAAGAGTTCAAACTTCATATGGTTGCTGCAGCTTCTCAGGGTAGAAAGTAGCATCTTAAGGTGTTTTGGAAGCATGCTTCAGGAATAGACTGTGGGCAGAAGAGACTGGAGAAAGGAAAGCTCATTCAAAAACTTGTATCAATCAGGGAAGATGTGCTAAGAATATGGACCAAATTGTTGTTGGTGGGAAGTGATTAATCTTAGTTCTTTGTAACATCTGGCATAGGAAAAAAAAGGAGAGGGAAGGTTCAAGGAGACTCCAAGATTTCTACTGTCAAATCCTCAGGGACTGCTGGTATTTCTGACTGAACTAATTGTAACAGCAGGCAACTAACATTTTTAAAGAAAAGAAAGATAAAAGAGAATTTGCATGATTGGAATTAGTATTATTATCTTTGGGTTCCTATTATATGAGAAGTACTGTGACTCCCACTTTATTTCATTAAACCTTCATTAACAATCCTATGTGGAAAGAATTATCCCATTCACTGAGGAGGAAACCAAGAGAAATGAGATGCCATTTTGCAGGAAAACACACCCCAGCAAATGGCAGACCTGTGCCTGGACTCCAGATATGTGAGACTATACCCTTATGCCCTAGTGATGAGGGTGAAGCCATTCAAGGGTGGCTCTTTTAAAGTTGTGGTTAGAGGCCTGGATGTGAGAAAGGGACAGAGTTGGAGAGAGAGATTTTGGAGTCACTGAAATGATAAAAGCGCTATGACCATAGAGAGAAAGAAAGCCTGAATGCTATGGAAAAAAGCCACCATTTAAAAAAAAAATTTTTTTAACGTTTATTTATTTTTGAGACAGAGAGAGACAGAGCATGAACGGGGGAGGGTCAGAGAGAGGGAGACACAGAATCCGAAACAGACTCCAGGCTCTGAGCTGTCAGCACAGAGGCCGACACGGGGCTCGAACTCACGGACCGCGAGATCGTGACCTGAGCCGAAGTCGGCTGCTTAACCGACTGAGGCACCCAGGCGCCCCAAAAAGCCACCATTTATTGAGCATTTATTGTTTGTCTCTTGCCCTTCTTCAGTACCTGAGGTTATTTATTTTTTTTTAATTCAAGTGTATTGAGGTCACTTCCCTGATAAAAACCTGACCCTGGCTTCTCACTGCACTTGGAATGAAAGCCCAGGGCCACTGTGCAGCTCACAGCCCTGTCTGACCTGGCTCCAGGTCTGAGATTCCCTTCCTGGATCCTCCTCAGCTGCAAGGCCTTCATTCTATTGTTAACTTTTATGGTTTGAATACGTAAGCTCTTTTCCATTTCAGGGTCTTCATAAGTGCCATTCTCTCTGCTTGGAATTCTCTTCAATGTTCAGTCAGTTAACCCCTACTATACTTAAGGGCTTTGCTTAAGGGTCACATCCTCCATGCAGCCTTCCTTACTCTCCCCTCTCTCTGCCCAAAGCAAGATGACATAATCTCTTAAGAATAAAACCTTTCTTATTACTTCGAGAAAGTGATGTCTAATGTGTAATCACAACGACAATTCCTATGTGACCTGATTAGTTTTCAGGACTAAACAAATTTGAGGGAAATTATGCTCCATTTAAGCATTCACAATGTTGACCAGGGATAGCGCTAGAGTGTAGGGTTTAGAGGGGGTAATATTACTTTGATGAGTAATTTGGTATTTTTACTGTCATACTTCTTGTTTGCTTACAACATCCCATTTTTGTGTATTAAAGAATCCTACAAAATATAATAGAGGTCTTTCTTGGTAAAGAAGAATTAACTCTGGGAAAAGAAAGCATATTTTCTTAATATTTAGTGGCTTCCTTTATAACATTATTTGTGAACAATTTGGATTTAGGGTAACAGAGGGATCGGCATAGATTTTAGGGACTTGAACTGCTAAAAATATCTAAAAGATCCCAATCCCAGGAAACAGATATGAGAGAACCAGGTGATGAGGTTGGCAGAGTGACACGTTTTAGAGTGGAGGAGTGGGAAACATCAAGAATGTAACCTGCTGGGGCAGCTGGGTGGCTCAGTCGGTTGGGCATCTGAATCTTGATTTTGGCTCAGGTCATGATCTCACAGTTCCTGAGATCGAGCCCTGATTCGATTCTCTCTCTCCCCCTCTCTCTTTGCCCCTCTCCCACTCTCTCTCTCTCTCTTTCTCTCTCTCTCAAGATAAAGTAATAAACCTGAAAAAATAATTTAAGCTGCTGAGCTTTAGTTTTCTTTTCTGTAAAAGGCAAATAATATAATGCAAAAAGCATTTGCTTTTTAAGGCTGTGAGGATTCCACGGCATTTAATATTATGACTGACAAATAGGGAATATTCAATAAGTGGTGGTATTATTTACTGTACAAGTAAAGTTATTATCAACAAATATGCAAAAGCTTTAACATTAAAATTAGCTTTTATGCAAGGGAGGTTTGGTCAAGACAGTCATCTAAAGAACATACATGCAAAAGCATTTTGTAGGGACTGTGAATTTAGGTACCTACTGTATAATAGAAATGATCTTTGATGTGCATATGATTTACATGTTTTATATGATTAGAAATCCAAGAATCACTGTGGCTGTCCTGTTGTGGTTGGTGAAGTGGGTGTTGATGTAAATCAGTTTCCAGGGGAATCAGGTGGAGAGTTTAGGTGTCAGCTGAGAGTCACCCTCACTCATTGAAAAGCAACAAGTGATTGTCACTTGACCTGGGAAAAGTCTGTACCACGAGGTTCTGTGAATTGTTTTGTGCTATGGTCTGAATGTTTGTGCTCCCCTCAAATTTATACGTTGAAATCTTAACCCCAAAATGATGGTGTTAGGAAGCGGGGCTTTTTAGAGGTGATTGGGTCCTGAGGGAGGAGCCATCATCATTGGGATTAGTGCCCTTACAAAGGAGATCCCAGGAGGTTACAGCTAGAAGGTGCCATGTACAAACCAGAAAATGGGCCCTCGACCAGACACACCAGACATCGAATCTGCCGGCACTATGACCGTGAACTTCTCAGCCTACACAACTGTTAGAAATAAATTTTTGTTGTTTAGAAGTCACTAAGTTTATGGTATTTTTGTTATAGCAGCCTAAATGGACTAAGACACTATGAGACCAAACCCCAGAGGTTAACTGATTGACTTGGTTCTCAAAGCTGCTTAGAAACAGAACCAGGACTGCAACATTTGGACTTAATATTTAAAAAGGCATTTTTTTAAAACACATATCATAGGCTAGGCAGGAACTAAAATAATCTGCAAATAATGAGCTCATTGAATCCTTTCAACGATGTTATAACGTAACTACTGACTTCATTTCTGTTGGTCAGGAAATAACCATCCCAAAGCCACACACAGAGGATCAATCTGTGGAGGGGCTAGGTCATGAACCCAGTCTAACAGACCCTAGGGCTCTGAAACTCTGTAACCACCCTAAGCATGCCAGGCACTGCCTAATGAGATGGAGAATGTTTCACTTATTTCTATGTCTTATTATAAACATAAGAATGCCTCAACTCATTTTCAAATCGTGAAATACTTAATAAAGAAAAACAATGTTCTGATACTCACGTATCTTTCCCAATCAATTTCTGCATAAAATCCATTTGGTGCCCCGTTACTTTTCTTCTGCAATAAATTTGAAAATAAATTTAGAAGAGAAACATTTGAATAAGAGACAAGGAACAAAGAACACTTAACTCTTATCTGTATTTAGCAAGAGCTATCAAAATCCAGCACCGGAAAGACAAATTAGAGCAGCCTATTAAGCAACCACACTGGTGTAACTGAATGGTAAATTGAGCTGCCATGAGACTGCATAAAAGAGCTTACATACTTATTTCACAAAAGACTGTAAGATACCTAAGCATAGGAATGGTAACAGCTAGCTGTTCGAATTTTATTGGTTACTAAAAAATTAGAAGCACCTACAGTATAATTTAATCCTCTATACCTTCAGGGGATATAATCAGATATATATATGGAAACATTTTGACTGCCATGTTGTTCTCATATACAATTAGTTCCAACATACCTAAAGAGTATCTCTCCAAGTCATTAACTAATCTTCCTTTAGCTTTTCTAACACTGACTCAACTTTTCCCTAACCACCCCCTTGACAGAATGTAAGGGGAATCAACTCCAAGTTAATTCAGTTCCTAGGTATTAAAATAGTTTTGTTATTCTTTCCAAGTGGCTTTTCTTATCAAATTATTAAAATAGAATCCAAGGATTGATTGTGGATTTCTGTCATCCGTGTGTTCTATGGCTTCATGAGCATACGTCATTGCAAGATGACTGGATATCAGCCATTACTCTTTGGATTCTTTTCAAGTTCTATTTTAGCACCTAAACAATCATGATATATGGCCACAAGCATTTGAGTAAGGCTGTGGCATCATACAAACAGAAATTTCTAAGATTCCCTACTTTCTGGGAGCAAAGGACAAAAACACAAATCAGGTTGGTAAGGAGGGGTCCATTCAACAACATTCCTGTGTTTAGCACATAAAACAATAGTATGTCACCGAGAACTAGCAGAACTCAGAACAGCACATATCAAATAGTGAAGCATGCGGCTTGAGGACAGGACTTCTAATTTTACAATCACAGATAAAATCCACTTGAACTACAACATTGAACAGCTAACATCTAATTTGGCAAATAGGTAGGAGAAGGAAGTTTTCATGTATGCATATCACTAGAAAAGCAAATTAGAGGTAACCTAGTAACCATTGTCATTGATTACTGAATGCTGGACTGGGCATTCTAAGAACTAGCCTAGTTTATAGCTAGAGTGAATAGCGGGTAAGGCATAGATATTGTGTCCATGCCCTCTTTCTTCCTCTTCTTATACACCACCACTGCACTAGAATGCACAAATACAAGAACTCTGCCATGCTTCTAGTACCCAGGAACATTGACTCCGTGACCCTCTTTTTCTTTGTTTTGCTCCTGACAAAGATTATATACTTTGTCAGACTACACCATTTTAACCTTTTCACAGAATTGCCTTCATTGAATTAGTGCTTCAGCAATACTCTCCCTACTTTGAACAAAGGGCATTTTTAAAACCTGCCACATCATCCTTGTACCTGTATGAGTTATGGAGTTAAGGACAAGGTCCATTACATGATGTGCCATCTAATAATAAAAAAAAAAAACCTCTCCCATGGAGAATGGATATGGTTCCTATTTTCTTTTTGTCATATTTACTCTTTTGTAATTCATACTTTACCAATCTATTTCCATATGAATTCTTTGCAAAATTCTCCAAATTCCTTTTAACAAACATCGTAATAAATTCAATATACAGATTTAGTTTATAATAATGAGAAATCAAATGAACTATGTTGTTCCAAAGAATTAAACTCATGAATTTTGTGATCACTATAGTATTACTATTAATATAAAGTTTGCTTCTGAAACAATTCTTAAATACAAAAGATTGTTATCTAAAAATCAAAAAGGTTAGGTAAATTACTGAGTTCAAACTTCTAGCTTGCTTCCATAGTAGTCTCATCTCCATACTCAAAGCCCTTTACAACCAAGATAGCTTATGTGTTCAGCTAAATAAATAAATATGTGTGTGTGTGTGTGTGTGTGTGTGTGTGTGTGTGTGTGTCTTTCTTGAGAACATATATTCAACATTATGGATAAAAAGTTCCTGATTTTTCGGGATCTGGGCTGAGTGAAAAAATTCCCAGTTTCCATGGAAACCAATATAGAAGACTAAAAGGAGAGAAAGCAAAATCTATAAAAAGAAAATGTCTTTTAAACTAGGAATCTTTTTAACACAAATACCAAACACAAACAACAAATCATAAACAATACACTTAGAGGCAGCTCTTCAGCACACAAGCACACACAAACATGGCTTTATCAGAGGAATTGGCAATTTGGCCTCACTCATGCTAGCGGATTATTATGAACATATTTGGCTTCACAAGTGGAAATGATCGAGTTTAAGTTTGGCTGGAGCCTGGCTGAATTGTTTTTGGCCAAACCCCAAGAAAAAAGCAATTCTCCTGGTTATACCACCAAAGCAAGGTACAGCTCATAGTAGTAATAGGGAAGGTAATGGCTCTTTTGATTTTTGATCGGAAAACACTGAAGAAGCAAGAAAGAATATAAGTAGGAAGATATCATTTAAAAACTAGGCCTCATAGTAAAAGCAATATCAGATATTGGCTAACATATAAATAGTGATTTTTCTCTTGGAGTTGGAGTTATGTATTCTTTTACTTCTTTCTTTTTTAAAATTCTACAATTAGCATAAGTCAACTTTTCTCACTTGAATATATGACTGTTACTTAAAGATAATTGAGGCTCATATTAATATTAGTCATGCTTTAATAGGTATTTTACTTTGGTCAGGCTTATTATCTGCTCTCAGATACTATGATGGGCTAAATCAATAAATGCAGTAACAGTTGTGTTCAATTATACATTCATCAAATTTCTCAATTTCTACTGTGAATGCTTCTCTTTTCCAAGGTCAGCTCATGGCCATGTAGTGTTCCTTAGACATGAAGTATTAAAGATACATGGTATTCTACTTAAAAATTATCTTCTTGCCACCGAGGCAAGACTTGACTCACTTTGTAAATAATCCCATAGAACAGTACTGTTCAATAGAATTATCAGTGAAGATGAAAATATTCTATATGTGGACTGTCCAATACGGTAGCCACCAGCCACAATTAGCTATGGAGTACCTGAAATGTGGCAGGTGCTACTGAGGAACTGAATTTTGAATAAGCATATGTAGCTACTGTACTGGACAAGACGGTAATAGTTGCTGTATAGTCTGGGCCTGGATCAGCATCCCTGACTCACCATCGTTTGGCCGAGTATATTCGTTGCCACAAGCCAAGGCCCTGCTGACTTCATGATGTTACTAAGATAGTGTTTATCCTAACAAATGACTACTCAAGTTGTATGGTGACGTTTATATTATAGCCAAAGCTTTCTTATAGACAGCATATTATTTTACAAGTTTGAATCCCTGTCCTTTGTCTAAGACAAAGGAAACACATGTCCTTTAAACCCAATTACTCTTTAAAAAGTATATTCAGACATCAGTATATCAGGCCTATGTGGTTGATTTAAAAATTGGCCTTGGATATTCAAGAATAATTTAGAAATAGCTAAGAAAGTTTTTCTTAGATTGGTTAAATAAATGCACTGTTTTTTCCAAATTTCAAATTGGGATTTTACTCACTGTTTCTACAACCCCTTGGAAATTTTAAACTAAAATCTGTTTCCTTACCGAAACTTTTTTTCCTCCTTCACGCGCACACTCTGCTTTGTTATTGTAGGGTGGTTCATGTGGGCTGGGCTGCTGGAATTGATTGTTTTCATGTAGAAAAAAGTTGTTAAAGGATCTGTTTGTTCTTTAAGACACATATAAAGAATCACATGGAGTCAGCAAACATACCATAGAAGAAACAATTTCTAGGCCAAATCGTAGGGCCTACCAATCTCGGCAGGGTTCCTTAAGCAAGGAGTGGACTTTGGGGCCCATAATGAGGCTCTATTCAGCAGGCCAGTGTAGCTAGGCCAGGAGAAGAAGGGGGAAGGAGGAAGACGCATCCCAGGCACTAGGGATTACGTGGATCTGGGCCTCATTCAGCCAGAACTTAATTTACAGGTAGAGAACAGACACCGGGACACACCAAAGAGACTAAATAAAAATGGTTATATTTCCAATAGGAGTCCAGGAGGTCGAGCTCTACCGTATATCCCTCCTTTTCAAAGCTTTCCTGAAGGTTGTCAATACGTACAGCATGAACTGCTGACAGCTTCAAATCTGGGCCCTTTCCTGCACACGCGTTCAGGATGAGCAGAGATCTCCTCACAGCAATGGCTGTGATTCCCTGTGCCCCCGGCCTGTGTGGATGGAAATCTAAACTGCTCAGGAAAATGTTTTGAGCGCACCCTGCACAAAGGTGAGTTGGTCTCTGGGTTAGAATGCATTGTCACTCGCAGCTGCCTGAAGTCTCAGACATCATGCCAGACAGCTCTGCTGGAGGGACATTCACCAGTGGGGAGCGAGGCAAGCCCACCTTCACACCTGCAGCCTTGCCATGAAGCCTCTGTAGACTAACCCTCAAAAGTGCGGTCACCAGAGATGGGCCTCATTAACTTTTGAGAAACTGAAATTAAATAGGCATCAGTACATCGAACTTATCGCATAGCCATTTATAAGCATTAAGGGGGTGCACCACCACCTGTGGTTTGCAGAACCACATTAGTGAAACCATGCAGTTCAACTTCAGATACCCAGGAGACAATAATTTGGAAGCTAAATCAGCCAGGTAAAAGATAAAAGTGCGCCTGGGTCCACGGACACAAGGGATTAAAGAAATCAGCCTGGGTTTGAAAGAAAATTGAGATCGCTAAGGACTGAATGCAAGCAGAAACTTGACTTCCTACAGCATTCTCAAAATTTGGTGACCACAGTGAGTGAGGAATATCTGGGGAGTCCTTCCAAACGGTAAAACTAGCAGCTGGCTAATAAATGCCAACTACCTAGGAAGCTGCATTTACTTAGAATGTGGCCTTTTTCAAACGGGTCTGCCTTACTTCCTGAGAAGTCAAAATTAAACAATTCCTCTTTCCTAAAATCACGACCAGTGATATTTATGGCATTTCCAATTAGGGAACAAGGAGGGTGCCACTGCCGATAGATAAATATATGACTTGGATTGGTGGCAGAGAGAGAGATCTCAGGGAGCTCAGCTATGAAGCCCTGACTTAGGGTACACGAATCCACAGAATCACGGCTGGGCTCTTTAATGCAGCACATGCTCGTCATTGCCAGCTGCATGCCAGGGCTGCACCGACATGCCAGGGCTGCGGTTCTACCAGAGATTTAAACTGGTGGTCCCTAGAAGAGCAGAGAACACTGAGGTAGCAATGGGGTAGGGAGTGAGGAGGTGGCGGAGGGCAGGAGGAGCAGGGCGTTAGAGAAAAAGGGACAAGACTGAGGTGGTAGAGGGAGAGAAGCAGGAAACAGCAGTCTAGCCTAAGAGCAGCAGGGACAGAAAGCAGAGAATAGCTAACAGAGCCTTGCCGAGGTCAGAATGAAGGAGACAAGAGAACCCAGGGAGGGGACCGAGACAGAAGCAGAGAGAAGACACAGAAGCAGAGAGTACCTGAGACAGAGTTAACGAGAGGGCTCTGAGCCAGAAGCAAGAGGTGAGGAGAAGCTGAGTCTTCTGGGTCTTTTTTTTCCCCTGCTGAATAGAGCCTTGATTATAGTGTTACCCAATGTCTGGTCAATTTATGTCTATTTTCTTAACATTTCATGGCGAGAACTACATGAATGCAAAAGGGACCCCAAAGCTAAGAACCTTGAGTCAAGTATGGAAGAAAAAACTTCTGCTATAGCTGCAATTAACACCTCAATTTGAGTATAATATTATGAAGGGTGATTTTTTAAAAAATATTTTTAACCACCAGATTTATTTTAGTTCCCACTCCAGCCCAATGAGCCTAATGTGAGTCCATTTTTTTTTTCAGTAACAGCTGTTCTTTTGAACCTTCTGAATAGGCGTCTGATTTAGATTCAAAGGAAGTCATTTTAGAAGTTGGTACAGACTCCCATAAGCTCAACTCAGATAAATCCAAGCCCATGTGCCATAGACTTCTTTAAAAAAGCAAGAAATCTGGTGGCCAGCAAGAAGTCAGAGTTACTGTTAAACCTAAACCCAGTGGACACATTTTCCTCCTTCAGGCTGTAAATTCAGGCATAAGTGGTTTCAAGACCATTCCCTACTTAGGAATTTAATATAGAAAATGTATCTGCAACTCAACTAAAGGGGAAAACCTTCTTTCAATTTTATTGGATCTGAGCTCCATTATGACTTTGTGGCCTCTGTTGGAGAAAAACATTCTCACATAATGAGCCATTATATCATTAAATTGGAAATGAAATAACAGTTAATGGTAGCAGCCCCTGCAGGAACTGTCTGGCTTTTGACCCACCATATTGTTGAGGTTTGCTCGCCTACTCTGGGGCAGGATTTTAGGTGAATGCAATAAATAAGTTTAACTTGACCAAGACTGCATTTATATGTCCCATGCAATTACTACAGAAAATTACAACAGTGAGAGGTCTGAAAAGTCATTTAAGTTATTTTTTCCCTACAGGAAAAAAAAAAAAGAAATGGGGCTTCAAGAAATTCAAACATAGTATATATATTGAAATGCAAACCTACTGAAAATGGTCATTTAAATACTTACAATTCCATCTCTATCTGGTGAACCTCTGTAACAAAAAGAAATGGGTAGCTATTAGGAAAATGAATCATTCTTGCTACATAGACTAACATACAACAATAAGAATTGCAGACCACCTCTCTCCCCCTTTCCTGTGTTCCCACCCCAGTGAACCTGGCTAATGAAAACGAAATCAAAACAAATTAGTCGAATGATATTTGAGCGTGGGATGTGTGCCTGTGTGTGGGGGAGGAGGCAGATTCTCCTTAAAAGCTGTTGTCCAAAAGGTACATGTTGCTATCGCGGTGTCTTGGTTCACTTTTGAGAGGGGAGTTTATTAAGAGTCTGTCCCACTCAGCTGGCTCCATTTAAACTACCACAAGGAATGTAAACTGACTTGCCCTCTCTCATCTTCTCCCCTGTGACTGGTCTTGAATCTCTCCCTATAGAAAGGAACTCCTATGGTATTTCTCTCTTTACTTTGAGAATCTGTATTTTCTTCTATATTTATATACCTACTGCTCCTTTGATTTCAGGAGAGCAGGAAATGGAGGACAATGTTTGCTAAATGGCCCCCTTGATGACTTAAGGCCAAGAGAGTTCATCATCCAGGGCGACACTGTGTTGCAGTGCCTAGCAGTAAAGGTTCCAGAGTAGGATGAACCTGGGTGTCCAGACTCCACCACTCATTAGTTCTGTGACCTTGAATACATTACTTAATCTCTCAAAGTCTGTTTAAATAAAATAAAGTATATAAAGAACTTGTAATTAGTTCCTGGCCCATACTAACTAGTCAAAACTGTTCATTTGTTATGTTTTTTTTTTTTCTCTTTCATGGTGTCTCATCACTGAGAACACAAAACTGACCATTTGCAGCCATGTTAGACTTCAAAGCAAGTAATATTATTGTTCCTTTGGGAAACTGAGCTGCAGGAGCCAGAGGAAGGTAGAAATAAAAGGGTAGTCACTGTGACTTTATAACTTCCTATTTTAGTTCACTCTGTAAAGAGCTAGAAAAATGTTATTCTGTTAACACAGAGGCCAGAGTTATGCTTAGATGAGGACCTGCATTGTTTGGAAGGTAAACTTAATAAGTGCTTGAGGTGGACTCTGAAGTCTTACGGAGTTTGGTGTGGTTGGAACTGTTCTTTAGGAGGTGGGACCAAGTAACAACATTCCTTATTGATTCATGGGGTGGGGAGGAGGAGAGAGGAGAGGAAGGGAGGGAGAGAGGGGGAGAGAAATGCAGAGAGTTAGGAGCACATCTTCTGGGCTCCATGATGGGATTTCCTTTTCCTACTAACACCCGCTTCAAATTCAGCAAGATATTCCATTTGGATTATAAAACACTTGATGGGAGCACATCATTTTTCGTAAGCAGTTCTGTGTCTGTGGGGATGCAGAGGTAAATCAGCGATACATGGACTAGATGCAGAAAGGACCCAGATATTGAAAGACCCATGGGAGTTGACAGAAATCTTGGGGTCTTTGAACCTGGCTATGGGAATTAGTTGGTTCAAAGAAATTTCATGTAAAACAAAGTGTAGGAAGATAAAAGTTGATAAAAGTTATAATTCACTGAATGAATACTGAGTGTTTATAGCCAGGCACTAGGCTAGAATCAGAGGATAGAAATAATGAAGAAGTCATGCTCATGGTAAAAAGAACGAGACAGGCGAGTAAATCCAGGGGGATACCAAGGTTACCAATAAGCCAAGGTTGGACAGAAAGCATAGAGGAAAGGTACTGCCCTATATTCATCAAAGCAAACTTCCTTTTTCAGAATTATATACCGCAAAAAATAAGCATTTCTTACCAGGATAGCAAACCTGTACTGAAGGAACTGAGAGAGAGATGATTGTGTCACCTTTAGGGTAGGATATATCCAAAGGTACTGATCCTCACGGGGATGTCTTTGGGGGCAGCACATTATAGATATGAAGACAAGGCTCTGCAGATAGGCCTGGCTGTGGCGTTGCCCACTATTGGTCCAGGTACAAGGGTATATCAATAGGCGATCTAAACGAGAGGCTGCTTGATCTCATGCATATTGCAGCTATAGGGGTGGCATTTCCCTGTAATTGGACATAGCGGCATAGTGTCCTATCCTGCCTCTGTCTTAACCATTGATGGAATGGAGCCTGTGTCTCCTAGTCTGGTGGCTGTAAGCATGGCAATGAAGACCACTGGCTGTAGTGCCAGACTGCCTGGATTCAGTCAACGTAGATTCCTAACTGCATAACCTTGGGCAAGTTCTTTGAGCCTTTTGTGTCTCAGTTTCCTCATTTACTAAATAGCTATGAAAATGGCATATACCTCATAGGCCTATTAAAGGATTCAATGAAGTGAAGAAAGTGAAGAGCCTGGAATAGTGTCTCGAATATAGTAAACACTCATGAAATGTTATCTAGAATAAAGTTTTTATACAATCTGACCTAGGATGGTGAGTGGAGAGATGTTTGCTAACATCTCAGTCTCAGATGCTAGAGCATGTGTTATCAATGCATTTTCTAACCCCTTCTTATGAAGTTTTATACATATATTTTTAGTAATTTTATTTTCTTTTTAGCAGAGAACCCATTATATTTACTGACTTCTATTTGAAAACTAATCATCTACCATGGGCCTTTGTCGCTATTTTAAGAAGTGTCAGTTCCCTTTTGCAGCTACTGCCTTTTCTCTTACTCCGCTACAGGTCTTGATTAAAATTTTGCCCACCTAGTCTTTTCCTTCTGGGTGACAGAGGATGGGCACTTGATTTGGACTAGAATTCTGGCTCCAACTCTTATTTCCAGATAGCCTTCAGAGAGTTACTTAATCCCTTTTGGCACTGATTTCTCATTTCTAAAATTGAGATATTATTTCTAACCTTATTGAATCGCCGTGAGGATTAAAAAGGATATCAGTGCATACAAAAATACCCTGCACAGGGCCTGCCACTTAGCACAGGCTCTCTCTTTTCCTCTATCAGCCACTGTAATGATGATCAAATCAGGAAGCTCTGGTCCCGACCCCACTCTCTGTCTAAGGAGGTTCAATCAGCTATAGTTGGAGTTGGTCGGCTACTGGAGCAGGTTGCTTGGCAACACTCACGGAGTTGTGACAGTCCTGAAAACAGTTTGCATCAACAAGGTTTCAATGATTGCAGACGAACATAAGCATTACCTAACACTGAAGGGACAGTAAATTGCCAGAACAACTTCCCAGCCTTTTGCAAGAATGATGCATGACCCAATTCGAGAGCAGGGGTTCATGAAAGGCAAAGGTTTATACTAAACAGCATGTCCTTCAACTATCACTGCTGGTAGAATAAGTTTATGGCTGGGGTGCCTGGGTGGCTCAGTCGGTTAAGCCTCCGACTTTGGCCCAGGTCATGATCTCACGGTTCGTGGGTTCAAGCCCTGTGTCGGGTTCTGTGCAACAGCTCAGAGCCTGGAGCCTGCTTCGGATTCTGTGTCTCCCTCTCTGTCTCTGCCCCTCCCTTACTCATGCTCTCTCTCTCTCTCAAAAATAAATAAAACATTAAAAAAATTTAAAAAAAGAAAAACTTGCAAGACTAGAGTGAATGTCATTTCCCTGAAATAATTATTTACCAAAAGAAAAAGCATACAGAAAAGGTAAGAACCAGAGATTTTAACAAGCGATATCTACACACACACACACACACACACACACACACACACACACATTGCTTCCTCCCCTTAGAAAACTTTTTACACTATCTGGTTTAAAAGGCTTCAAGGCTTCAAGGTTGCCCATTCCTAAGGAAGGAAGCCCAGACACCTCACCCTAGCCCTTAAAGCCCTTCCTATCTGGGCCTGGTCTCCTTTCCAGCCTTGCCTCCCATTACCACCTTTACCTGCAGCCATCACGTAGACAAACTGTCCTAGCTATCTTGTCCTGAATGCCTACTGGACTTTTCCATCTCTCTCCCTTGGCTGTCATTGTTTCCTTGGCATGAGATGCATGTCCTCACCTACTTGAAGTCCAAACTCAAGGTTCCTCCCTCTCTGAGGCTTCACTGATCATCTGTCCAAACATGAGTTTTCCCACCCTCAAATTTCCATGAAATTTCATTTTTAACTGCTCATAAGGAACTGACCACATATTAATTTGTATTAGTAAGAGTAAGAGTAGCATCCACTGCCATTTATTGAGCATTTACTAAGCACTAGCTACCATAGGAGGCATTTCAACTATGTTATCTCATTTTGTTATATGGAAGATATTTCTTTGGTATGGTAGATATTTTATCCCATGATTTATACGTTCTTGGAGGACAAGGACACAGTGCAGCACTCATACTGTGCTAAAATTTATGCATGATAAAAATATATGGGATGAAAAGCTAAAGGTGAGTAGTAAATGTAGCCCTCTTTGGTTTCACCTGTATCCAAACAACTGTTGATTTTCCCATTTTGTAACTTTCGGGGATTCTAGCCAAATAAAGGGTTTAACGGGTGCTTCATTCTGCCGTGCAGCTGACCACACCACATGGCCACATGTGGTCCCTCAGCTGCAGCTGAGCCGCTGTGCTGTCCCAAAGTACATACGTCGAATCAGTGTCCTTTTCTTTCTTCCGTATTCCAAAGGCCTTCCTTGTACGTTTTTTCAATCCTGTGGAAAAAACAACAAAGGGTCAAGGAGATCGAATTCCTCTTTGAACACTCCTAGCAACATTCAAGTAAACGGTATCAGGGCTCCAACTCATGAACTGTGAGATCATTACCTGAGCCAAAGTCAGAAGCTTAACGGACTGAGCTACCTGGGTGCCCCCAAGTGAACGAAATTTTTGAAGTTGCAACACACCAGTTAACTTCGAACATTTAAAAAGCAGTGAAAGTTTATGTAAGTATCTGTGTGTGCTCGTGGACATGATTCATTATTATTTTCAACAGATGTTTATCAAAGACCCAGCACTGTAAGTTCTTAGCTCTCTGAACAATCTAAGAATATAAAGAATGCAAAGGAGATCCGGGCTAGATATAGAAAAGATTGCAAGCTTCTCTTAGATTATTGTTATTCATCACTAAATAGGTCCTTGGTCAAGAAACCATATCACAGATTTATATAAACAGCAATTTTTGGGTGAGACATATCCTGAGAGTAGGACCATTCCAAGGCACAGATTACATGAACAAGAGAGCTACATTGACAGAACACATCTTTGTCTCCCATAGTCCCATCTCATCTTTTTCTAATTCTTCAATTCTGTGGATTATTAACCATTCTCTGAACATACCCCAACATCTGTACTCCAGTATCTCTTTCTTCTATAAGTGGTTCTTACCTCTGGTTGAGGTGCTTTTCCTATTCGGATATTTAGAATTTCAACCATCTATCAAGGCCCAGACAAATGCCACCTTCTCTGTGAGGGCTTCTCAGCCCTAGAGGTATAAGAAGCTGACTATTCTGTGCCCCCCCCCAACCCCTAATGTTGCTCTTAGGTATATTTTTATTTATCAAATTGTTTCACTTAGTTCCTATGTCAGTTTCCCTCACAGGCTGTGAGCTTTTCTACGACACAGACCAAGGATTCCTTCTGTATGTTCCCTACACCTGGTATAGGTACCAGATAACATTTGTTGATTTAAAATATCTTCCAGGAGGCATCATTCAGGAAGTATTGGGGTAAGAAGGCTCCTTTCTTCCATCCTGGAGAAACCAAGCCCAATCTTGGTTCTTCCATTCCTATCCTGTCAAGGCTCTGTCTGGGATTCCTATCTCCTACATGTTCCATAGTTACATATATGGCTCATGTTTCTTAGTGAGTATTATTAAGATATACTAGATGCCTATATATTTCAAAGTCTTAGACTTGTTATTGGTGGTTTGGAAAGCCTTCTTGACAAATTGGAGCTGGAAAAGTCACTGAATTTCAGGATTTGTTTGGCACTAACAGGTGGAACAAAGGGAAAAACATTGACAGAATCAGAGATTTGATGACACCTTCTTCCAAAACATGTGAGTCAGCCCAAACCGCTCAGCTTACGTGAGTCATTCATTATCTGGCTCTTAGGATTCTACTCATATGTGATCCCCAAAATGTCTCTGTTCAGTCTAATTTTGCATTTTAATAGTCATTCCATTTAAGGTGTTTAGGTCTTTAAAATGTCAATGTTTGTTTCAAAAAAAAATCTCTTCCCACATTAAGCTCTTCATTACTCTTCACATGAGTTTATAGGAAAACTCACTGACATTTAAAACTACCCACCCATAATATTTAGGAACACCTTCCCCCATTAATTTTTATTTATTAATTTTTTTAATTTTAAAGAGAGAGAGAGAGAGAGTGCATGTCAGTAGGGAGAGGGGAAGAGGGTGAGAGAGATTCTCCACACTTTGTATGGAGCCTGACATGGGGCTCCATCCCATGATGCTGAAATCATGACCCGAGCTGAAATCAACAGTGGGATGCTCAACTGACTGAGCCACCCAGGCACCCTCATTTTTAATTTTAATCGTTAAAAACTTTCTTGCTTCTTACCTCTAATTGCCTTATCCTCTTATAGGGAAAAAATATCATAATGACAATCATCATTTTCTTCTTGGGTCCAGGCCTCTTAATTGGCTTTTCCATGCTTCTAATTCAGGTTTGGGGTCACAGTAAATGCTATATTTTACCAATCACTGCTGGTTTTTATAGGACTTTAAAATAAATGCTATTATTATTTTATGTTTTCAAATCATTTTATTTTCTATAAATTGACTATAAGAGACAGCATGTTCCACCAAACAGATCAGAAAATACACATAAATTCCAGTAATTCTTGTATTAAATTGGTAAGAGAACAGGCAATAGTAGTTTTCCATAGATTCTGTCCTGTTATGACCACCAAATTTGGACAATAGCCAATATGAACTAAGTCACAAACACCATGAATTGTCCATCTTCCAGTGAAAAGTGCAAAGGATCAGGATTCAGGGGACAGAGTTCATTTCCAGCATCATTTTAAATTGTGTAGCTTAATACAAGTTCTATCTCTTTGTGTCTCAATCTCTGTCTATAACAAATAAGCCAATAATAAGGGAAGAAAGAATTTGCACACATTCACAAAATGCTATGCCAATCTGTAATTTTAATTTCACTGAAAGTTGCATTTCCCATATCTAGAATACTTTTCTATATACGGAATACATACGGGAATACACCAAATATGTGACATTCCAGAAAAACAGAACTAACCAAATTGTCAAATAAGAGAAAGCATTGGAAACATTTTTCCCCCTCGAGAAAGGTTGGAGAAATTTAGGAAAGTAGGAAGACAACTCTGAAAGACTAAAGCAAACAGTTATGAAACGTAGAAGTTATTTGTATCTTAACAGCTCTTTGAGAAGATCCAGGAAGAAACAATCATACCAACTGTGTTAAAAGTGAATGTACAGGTGTGGTCATACGTTTCAGAGTTCATTAAAAAAATATTCAAATAAGTTTTTTGAAAGGGAGTAATGATTTTCCACTTCTGACTCCAGAACTTCATGACAATTTTAAAGTCAATTTCTGTAATTGTTTTTAGGTTGGGTCATGAATATTTGTCAACTATTCTTTACCAGAAATGGGAGGGAAAAACATCACTTGTTTTTTAAGAAATGAAGTAACTATTCCTTTGTCAATATCAAAACAAAGAGATATTAAGGGAAAGAATTTTGTTGTCTTGATGATCTTGGGCTAGAACGATTCTCCTCCAAGCTGTGGAGGTGAGAACATCCTCCAGTGTGCATCCAGAACTGCAGCCTTGGGTCAGCCACACAGGAAGTCTGGCCTGTGCCTCTAGCTCCTCTCTACTTAATTTAGATTCTTTTAGTTTCCTTTGGTACTACGAGAGGAGCTAGTCAAGTCTGGGAATAAAAATGAAATTAAAAATAGACTGATTTTTTAAGAGGGTGGGAAAGCTCATTTCAAAATAGGTGATCCTGGATATGATGTTACAAGGTAATAACATAAAGCAAAGAGTACAGAAATTGACAACAGTGATAACATAAGAAAAATATAGAATAAGAAGTTTCATCAGTGTAATATTATTAGTTATCGTTACTGAGGCCTTACCTATAAGCCAGGCACCAGTTGCTTTACATCTGTTGTCTCATGTATGTGCAAAAGTAGGAGGCGTTTTCTTCTCAAATAACTGCCTAAGTTAGGTTTCATTATCATCATTTCCAGGGAGGAAATTGGAGGCTCCCTTACCTCTATTGCTCCCCAAATGTCGAAGTTCTTCAGGATTTTGTCCTAGGGTCCTCTATACCCTCTCCCTGGGGCAAACCCACATGGCTTCACTTGCCATCTGTACATAGATGAACCCTGAATCTATAGGTCAGGCCCAGTAATATCTCATGAGCTTCTAAATATACAGTACTTCTCACAGTCAGGCTTTTCTAAATTGACAAGAGATTTCTTCAAAAGCCTTTAAGCTCCACTTATTTTTTCTTTAATTTTTTTTAACGTTTATTTATTTTTGAGACAGAGAGAGAGCATGAATGGGGGAGGGTCAGAGAGAGAGGGAGACACAGAATCTGAAACAGGCCCCAGGCTCTGAGCGGTCAGCACAGAGCCTGACGCGGGGCTCGAACTAACAGACCGCGAGATCATGACCTGAGCCGAAGTCGGACACTTAACCGACTGAGACACCCAGGCGCCCCTAAGCTCCACTTATTATATATATGCAATTAAACCTATAAAGGTACGCCTGATCATTTAGTTACAATTGTTTTCTGAATAAAATTCTCCTCAAAATGAAATAGTCCTCACGGTGAGAGATGGTAACTATACTTATTGAGGTAAACGTTGCATAATACATAGAATTGTCAAATCATTATGTTTGTACCTGAAACTAACATAACACTTTATATCAACTATACTTCAATAATAAAAATTTTTATAATGAAATTGTTCTCTATCAATAGATAAATGGATAAACAACATTTAGTATACTCATATGTAAAATATATTTCTTGTGAAAGGTCCAAAAAGTTGGAGAGTCTTTTTTTTTAACTTAAGAAAATATCTTTTAAGTTTAAAACACAAATTGTGTTTACTAGTGTTGTTCTCTGAAACTTCCCTGAGATAATTTAAAAAAAAAGTCAAATTACCTTGGAACCTCCTGGTTTTAAGAGTATACAATTCTGCAGGTGAAGAAGAAATAGTAGAGCAGAACATAATGACCTTTACCCATTTTTTTTCTCCTGAGTACAACTGTTCTATAAAAACTCATTAAGCAAATGCTAAATTCTGAATATGAGCCTTTAAATGTTACACTGAAAACAGAATTGTTCGGAGGGAAATTCCAAAAAGAAACATTTGGACTCTATATTAATTTTAGATCAAACATAAAATCTGATAGTCAAAAGAACCTACAGGGTTTTTGCTTGGTTTTATGTCTTCTGTTTTAGTTTTAAAAATCCCATTTGAAATTTTGTTCTCCTTAGAAATGAAGACTGATTCTGTAGATGGACAAGTTGAGGTAATCGTCCTGGAATTGAGTCCAGAAAGAGAAACTGAGGTGTGAACATCCTCTAGACAGGAGCTGAGACCCAGACACGCAGAAGACACTGTTGGCCTTAACCAGAGATGCCATCCTCCCATAGAGGAGTCTAAGTGGAGAGTCCTGCCAGTTACATCC